ATTAGATTTTGCTTATGTTCCAATATGTTTTGAAGAAATTCTTTCTTTCTTTCTTTCTTTCTCAGAGTAGAGCAGAATAAAAAGGAAACAGTCTCACAAAAGAATATTAAATTTTGATACGATACAAAAAGAAACAGTGGCGAAAACAAAGAAGTGGAACTTTTGGAAACGGCAAAATTAGACACTGAAACGATGAAGAAGAATTAGCAATGAAGGTCACTTGAACCAAACACGATTTTTCCTCACACAATTGCATATTGGATTCTTATTATTCTCAAATCTGCTTATAATTCATCGCTGACTGACAAGAGATTCTCTTAATTTTAGAAAGCAAAATAAACACAGCAACAGCACAAAATAGATCTTAAGACGTTTTCTTTTATATTCTTCAATAAACCCCACAGGATGTGTCCCTCATAAAATCTCTAACCTTAAAACAAGACTTCGAACGCCAGTCTTGCATGCAACGTTGTGGATGCAAAATAAAGAAGAGTAATTTAAGATTAAAGATTAAAAAGAAAAAAAATCACCTAACTAATAAACAGTCACACATGTTGTTGGGAATATATCGCATTTTCCAAATACGATATATTGGAGAGGGTCAGATGGCGGTCACATTTTCCCCAAGAAAAAAAGGAAAAGAAGCAGAATGTTGCGTTTTTCTTTTCATTGGTCCGTGAATTCACTAATCAGCAACTAACCGGAAGCCGAGATTTCCGGGTCAAGAAAAGACCTTCCTCTAAGATTTCTTCAGTGAGATTTTTGCTAGCAAGCTAACAGACGGGGATAGGGAGATTGCTTTACTCACTGCAGGCTATCAGTTTTACTGACAATTATTCTGCAACATTTCCTTGTTGGAGAAAATAAAATTGGCTGAGACAAATTACATTTTGCCACGCCATTTAGTATAACAAGAAAATCTTTCACCTGTTGAAAAGATGGCTTTTGACATTCAGTGAGAAACTGAAACGGCGGGACTCTAGTGTATTTATGGTATTGGCCTGTAGACAGACGATGTTAAGTAACAGCCGTAGTTAACCGAATAACAGTTCAAACCGCAGAGAATGTCGGGAAAATTCAAGAAGACTTTTATTACGGACGCAGGTTAATAAAATAAACAATATGACCACATCTTTTGTAAGTGTAGCGGCATGAGCAACTAGTTATCAAAATACTAACAACTTTATCGCGGATGAACCAAAGACCGTAGTTATTGACAATAATTGGTCAAAAAAAGAAAGACTATGCAAATCACTTCATTCGTGAAGAAATTAGGATAAGCAGAGTAAAAAAGAAACGAAACGATTCAGGTTTTGTGCAACAAACTTTTACAAAAATAATGAACAAGATTTCAGTATATAGAAAATTTGTATTGGAAGTTGGTAAAATATTTGTAGAGGAAAATGTGTGTAACAGGGAGTCCTTATACAATCTTCCTTTTGTACAATGTGCGTTACAGAAGAAAAGTTGAAAGTACTTTGAATGATTATATGAAAAATATCTTACTTTTAGCACAGGTTGTTCTATCCTGTAGTGAGAGAGTCAGTGTCTAAGGAGATGATGAAGTGCCAAAGTGAAGAATCATATGTAGAGAGCGTCGCTTCTTTAGATCTTTTGTTGTCACTGTGATCTCAATAGGCTCGCAAAGACAGTTCTTTGGTTGATGAAAATTAGTGTTTTCATTGGTTCTAAATTATGAAGTTATTTTATTTTTGTTATCTTTAAATTTTGATTTTGGTAAGCTCCTACCAGGCATCGTGTACTAATGTATTTTTAAATTTGATGAAAACGTCTGGTTCCGAGACTGAAGAAATTTGGACGTGTAACATCAAATAAAACCACGATTAATATTCTGAACAGATTTCCTATTACACACCTTCACAACATCTAGCCTAGTTTTAAATGTGTTTGTAAAGGATCTCCAGTCATTTACTTCAAAATTTGGTAATTCTATATGCAAAATATTCTTGAGAATATTTAGTTAGATTGAGATCAGGTAATATTCTTAGTCATTTGACATATGTTCTTTTTACTAATATTCATCCAGTAAAAGACCCAAGGGCCACTCAAAGTAGAAGGTTCTGTGTGGTGTTGTATCAGCGTAGGAAAAAGCCAGATAAGACGAAAAATAGACAGGTAAATCTAGACCTGAAGAAGTCAAGATTTAATTAGCGAATAAGATCTCAGAGTTCAGGTAGAGACGTTAGGAGTATAGAGTCGAAGTAAACTCTAGAATGGACCGGAAAGCCAATCCTAAACAGCAAAGGATGGACCTGTACTCCTTTTCAAAAGACCAGAAAGAGGTCTTTTTTTTTTAAAAAAAAGATTTTCCCTTCTGTGTGTGATAACTAAAATTGACACACGTTATTCTGTTTTTATCTAAAGATTTAGATATCAGGCATCCTGAAAAGAGGTAGATATTTATATTTTTGTATATTTCGCGACGCTAATATCAGCGAAATCTGAGAAAAATACTTGAACCTTTGATCTGGGGAGCAAATTATTCAGTTTCAAGTCTATTTTAGTATTTTTCAGTTCCGATCAGTGTCGCTAGATCATGATGTCTACAATACTAAATGAGCTTAAGCGTTTTATTACATTACACTGGGTTAGAAAAAAAAATTGTAAGTTGTTTTTTCAACTAAATTCGGACCATTTTTCTCCGCTGCATTCAAAAATGATATCCATTTTTCTTAATCAGGTTAGGTTTTATGTTCATTTGATTTTGAAAAATCCGTTTTTCTGGTTAAATTGATTACATTTTTGTGTCATTATCAGTTGATTTTCCTTAATATTTTTCATCCAAAAAAGGTTTTAGGAGAAAAAATAATTTTTCTAACAGAATGTATGAATTAAATGTTACAAACTTCAGTTTATGCAAACTGAATAATATACATTGATAAAGGTAAGTACATATAAATTGAACGTTACGCCGTCATTGTGCAAAATTCAGGGCATGAACTTATGTTTCTTCGAATCCCCTCATGTTCAGCAGCAGGGATGTCTCTCTTCAGAGTCCAACAGTAATAAGCCATCATGACTGGATCCCAGCGTCCCTGATACCTGGTCTCCATCTCTTTTATGTCCCGATGGAATCTCCCCCCCCCCGCGCTCATCACTGATTGATCCCAAATTCTCAGGAAACCGATCCATATGTGAGAATAAGTAAGGCATTTTGATGCTCATGTTCCATCCAAGGTCTCTGAAAGCAGAAACTGGAAATTGGTAAAACGTTCAGCATAATTCCTGGCCTTGTTGTTGCCAAAAGAAGTTCTTCGCGACCAGAACAAATGCTTTCAGTTACACTTCGTTTATTGAGTTTTCAAACTCAGGATCTCTGATGAGCTGACAGATTTGAAGAGCATCAACGATGTCAGCTTGCAACTTCTCTATGGTTAATCCTGAAAAAGCATGGCACAAGTAGGTGAAGCAGCCACCATCTTTGTCTAGCGCTTTGGTGAACTCTTTAGTCAAGCCGAGCTTGATGTGTAGCCGTGGGAAGAGTATCTTGTCTCTGCCTACCAAAGGATTGTTGATGACGTCCCTTAAATTTGGATTTTAAAATTGGTAATTTTTACTTTTAATTTAAACATCAAATTTTATCATATAATTTAATAATTATTGCTTAGAATAAATTCTTTTTTTAATATTACCCCTATTTTAACGATCTGCATAGCTATTATAACATGTCTTCATTGTCAAGCTTTTTGAATTTTCCTATACTTGTTGTATATATATATATTGGTTGTTCTAGCTGTTGTAACAATGTTTTCCCCTTGCGAAGTATCGTTAATTAATTTGAAACTTTTAAAACCATTTATTTTACATTCAATATCATCACTTGATAAGACACCGGAGGTGTTGAAAAAAAATGGCTATTTTTGTAGTGATTTTATAACATATTTAGGCTATAATTTTTTAAAATAAATAATTATATCTGCTCTACTCTGTATTGAGCACTCTTTTAAGAATTGTAATTGTTGGTTATTGGAATTCATTCCGTATACACCAATTACATACTTGGGTATATATATATATATATATATATATATATATATATATATATATATATACGTTTTTTCAACTTGTAAGCTATAATGTTCATTCTTTCCAAAAAGGTATTTTTTTATTTTTAGATATAAATTTGGTTCTAGTCTATAATCAATAAAAGCACTAACTCAACAGAAATAATAGTTTCAAAGTTAGAAACTGCCATAGTAATCTTTACAGGAGCCATTCGAACTAATCTATCGGGCTTTCATTATTATCGCTTCGATGAAAGACAATTTTGGTGTCGATATTTTAAATGACTAAATCTAAGGTATTTTTGTTGACTTGACCTTGCAAACATTGTAAGAAGCTTATGGATCCATCTCTATCCATCTTTGTGACTCTTTTTGTTTGGTATCCAAATAAGACGATTCCAGCAGAGACAAAGTTCCCCGGAACGAAATATGGTAAACACGTTTGTAAATCTGCCATTGAATTAGATTTGACACGAACAAATATTTTTAGACTCGATGAATCGCCGGTATTTTTTTTTACATCTTTCTGTTAGAGAATCGAATTTGAAAACAATAATAATGTATAAAGTAGTAAACTTGAAAACAATAATAATGTTTAAAGTAGTAAACTTGCAGCAACATCGTGTCGAAACAGCAGTTCTTATTCGATCATCGCAATTACAGAATATCTTCATATTTGAGGTTTCAAGACCTTCCTCGACTTGCATGAGAGAAATTTGATTTTTTACAGCTTATCAACCCATTGCATGTTATTTAAAGCTAGAAAATATTTTTATTATTGTAAGTATTGTTTTTTGTTAATAATGATTTAGTGATCCAAGTCTTACTAATTAACCCATAGCGAGGATGAATAGTTGGATTTCCACCTTTCTAAAAGATATTTGCGTGTAAGTGAATATAATGAACCCAACTGGAATTAAAACTCGACTCTCCGTTTAACAATCCCCATTATACCACTTGCATATTCAAGCTTATAATACCTTGTTTTCCCAAGCGGTCACTCATCTAGGTACTGACCAGGCTCAATGTTGCTTAACGTCGGTTATTGTAGGGGAACCAGTACTTCGACGTGATAAATCCGTAAGCCGGTGAAATGGAGAAATGAAGGGGTAAAGACTATCATTTGTGGAAAACAAATAATTCTTTGTTTCTTTCTATTTTTCTAATAAAACTCTAGTCTATTGATCTATGAGACTTTTATACTGGAACACACCCATTCTATTGTTAATAGACTCTTCCACCTATAAAAAGTAGGAGTAGTAGCAGTCGCTGAGTCAGTAGTTCAGTGAGTTGGTCAGTCAGTCGATGTCGGACGACCGTTAGTCGGATATTAAAGTATCAGCCACCACAACTAGATTGCTGCGTCATTAACTCTTATATCAAGTTCCTAACGTTTTGTACGTCGAACCTATTTTAGGACCGACTTAGTGAAATACAAGCCTCTACTGTGAAACTACTCTATAACAGAGACAATTCCGTAAGTAAAGCCTACAATTATCTCCAGGGTACCTACGACAGATTCAGGCAATACAATACAATTGTTGGAGAAATCTGTCTATTTTTCCTATCGCAGGCTGTGTATTTTTGAGTCTCTTCATTTTTGTGTGAGGCTGTCTGCAAACACTGTCACAACTGCTGAAACTCATTACACACGGATTACATCCATTGTTTGGTCTCCGTTAATGTGCAGCAACTCGCAATGAATGTTGATGTGCGCAAGTTATTCAGTACCTGTTTCGTACGTACAATTTGCCTGAATGCTATGTATGGCAAAAAAAATATGGTTATTTGGCGGAAAATTTCATCCTCTACTACCATATTATCGTAAACTTCCACTTAACGGGATAACATACGAGGTATTATTTTCGGAGCAACTTATGTATGTATGTATGTATGTATGTCTTATTGTACGGCAAATTTTTGTTGTTCCGCTGAAATCGCTCGATAGCAAAACTGCTATTAAGTTTCCCGAAGGCATACAGAGACTATGGGCTGAACATTGTACCAAATTGTTCTTTAATCTATCAACTGTTGATAATACAGTCATAGATAATTTGCTATAGAATGAGTTACTTCATCAATCCTCTCCACTCTCTCGGCATAAAAAAAAATCAACATCGGCAAGGCACTGGACGATGGCCTTCCATTGGAATTATTTCGATTCTGTGTGAATTATGTTGCTTCAGCTGTGTTCGACTTAATTCTTCTGCTCTGGAAAGGCACACTTGTATCTTAGAACTGGATTGAGGGAACTCTGGTTTCCATCTTTAAATCCAAACATTCAAAATGTGTGTAAGAGCTACCGAGGAATCACCATTCTTTAATAGTTAGCAAGGTCTTTGCGAGGATCTTGTTGAACAGGCTAATAAACAGCATATGCTCTCTAGTTATTCCAGAAGCACACAGTGGTTGTAGAGCGAATAGGGGTACTATGGATAGTAGGAGGAATACTGTAAGTACCATTGTACCAGGATTTCCTGTCTTTGAACAAAGCTTTTGGCACCGTAAATAGTGACGTCTTGTAAAGTTGGTTGCACTTACTTTTTGTCAACTTAGTGAAAAAGCTATATATTACGGCTTGTCTCACATTCAACAGATCACTTTGGTTTGTTTAACGGCATATCAACTCCTTATGGGTCATTTAATGCCAAATTTAATTTTCTAGGGCGGTATGGTAATTTTTTTTTTTACTATTAAAATCTATTGCTGGTATTATTATTATTATTATTATTATTATAAAAATGTTTTTTTATACTTCCATAGTGTTTTGAACCCATTTTGGGGGTTCATTATTAGGCCATATCTGTGACCCTAACAGATAGTACCCATCCGGTCAGGGTAGACCTAGGAACAACAGCAATTAAGAAATTGTTTTACGCTCCTCAAACCGCCCTGGCTCACCTTTAAATGAAATGGCAGTGGATAATGGAGCAAAGCAAAATGATATTCTTGAACCAACACTTTTCTCGATATACGTTGCCCTGCTCTTATCACTTAGGCCTTTGAGGGAGTGTGAGGCAAGAGTCTCCTTGAGATTTAGGAAGACTACTCAATCTCAGAGGATTCAGTACCAATTCTAAAAACTTTGTGTGCCTGATCTGAGATTTGCTTCATGCTAATGATGTAGCACACTCGTTGGAAGATTTAGAGCTCATAACAGATCACTTCTCTGCAGTTTGTGATGCTTTTGGTTTGCGGATTACCCTGGTGTAGACAAAAGTGATGTTTACCCCATCCACCTGGTGGGGCCTACAAATAACCAAATATACTTGTTGACAATTTTCCATACTTTGGGAGTAAAATATCAAAAGACAGTGTCCTGGATGCTAAGATTTTTGTTATGCATTCAGGTGACTAGTGTTGCATTTGGTAAATTGGAAAAGGGCGTATGCTCATTTAGCGGCATTGCCATCAAGACTAGAATAAGCGTGTATACGGCCCATGTCTTAACATCCCTGTTGTACTCTTTGAAACATGGGCAACATACCTGAGGCATAGCTTGAACGATTCCACCAAAAATGCCTGAGTTGCATCCTTAACATCATAGGGAAGTCTTTGATTCCAGACGCTGTTGCACATCAAAGATCTGAATGCAAATGCATTGAAACAATAATAGTCTTCGACCAGATGCGATGGGTAGGAAACTTTTTGAGTATGGCGGATAACAAGGAATCCAAATTGTCTACGGTGTTACGGGAGACATGAAATCGTCCAATGACACAAGCCTAAGAAGAGGTTTAAAGTTAATTTGAAGGATAATCTGAATGCATTACACATGGATGTGAATCATTGGTAAGAACTGATCTTAAATTTTACAAAATGGTGGCACGTTATAAGGAAGGGATGCAAAAGGCATGCTCAGATCAAGCGTGGTCTCTGAAGACGCACTCATTCTGATTTGCCAACTAGAAAGTCTTGAAAATGTGGTGTCTTTGAGTACATACTATTGTTGAGTATAGGTTATGTAAAGCATCTGAAAGGGTATCATGTCAACCAGAAACAAACCAAATGTACCAAACTGCCTCGTCGTCCTGCTAACAAAAGGTTTGCAGATCTCATTATCTGAGAAGGTATATAGTGGTACACAGGAGACATTTAGGACATCAAATCAACCTAATCAAGTATAGATACGGAATTTATTCTATAATATGTGCATGATACCTATAATATCGAATGCTTGTCTCAAGAGTCATATTAGGGACGATGGGCGACGAAACGAGACGAAAGTCATTGGAAGTGATGTGAAGGGTGAGGGGTCACTATCATCTGAGTAAGATGCATCAATCAACATGTATGCATTATAATATATATATATATATATATATATATATATATATATATATATATATATATATATATATATATATATAAATAAAAAGAAAGAGGTTGTAGTGGTTCCAACGAGAGAAAAGTATGCATATTAAAAAAAGAAGAGAAGAGAGGTGCCGCAAACGTTTTTGGTTGTAATGTGGATTTATTTAGAAAAAAACATTATGCTTTGTTTTACATAATTTTATTACACGGGTTTCTGGTCTCGTGACCGTCTTCAGGTAAAAGTGGAGATTTCTTTTGTTTTTCAATGTTAAATATTCTCGATATGAGACATTTTCTGTGCTAGTAATCCGAATTTCTTTCTTGAATTGGCAATGAAGAGTCCTGCGCGAAGGGTCATAAAACAATTAAGGTTGTCTAAGCGGAATGATGAATTGCTTATCGGCATTTTATCTTTTAATGTTTTAATGACCCCTATGTGTTCTTGGATCTGTTTCCATTTTGGTGTGTTTCTGTCAGCATGCGTGTATATATGCGTGCGTATGTTCCCCCTCCATACATATATTGTCTTACTACGAGGAATTAGTAAACTCATTTATACATATACACGCATACACACACATACGCACATACACACCATCCCACCACAAGGAATCAGTACATACACACACATACACACACACACACATATACACACATACTTTCCAATCTACATGGAACCAGTATACACATACACATATACACATACATACACACACATACGTACCTACATACACACGTACTTCCTAAATTGTGTGGGGTTTGGGTGCGTGCTCGTGAGTAGTTCCCCTGTTTTGTCAACATGCGTATATATATATATATATATATATATATATATATATATATATATATATATAAGAATCGAATAATAAAATGGATAAACGAATATAAAAATAACTTCTTTAAAAGCAACACGAAAAAAAGACGTCCATTCACTACGACAGACATTAAACTCGAGAAATGGATTAGCTGTGAAGAAGATAACTGAATCTTTTGTAGCTCTAAAAGATTGATTCTGGACACAGAGATGACTCAAAAATGGCCGCCTACAATGCTTGTGTGCTGACGTTCCTCCTATGCTCCCGTGAGACTTGGCTTGTGCACCGCAGACACTTAGAAGCACTGACGAGATTCCACCAACACCTTTTAAGATCGTGTCTTGGTATTCACAAAATATCCCACACGTTAGACACTGTGGTCTTCGAAAAGATCAATGCATCGGAACGCAAATTGATCGCCGCAGGTGATCTCTTTACAAGCCTTGTTATTCGTCTTGACAACAGTAGAATACCCAAGGAAATTCTCTACGGCACTCGACCCTGACATAAACAAAAAAAAAAAGCGCTTCAAGAACGGTTAAAAAGAGTCACTTGCAGCTTGTTATATAGAATATCCTGAGTGGGGAAACTCAACTTGTGATGGATATAATTGAAGGCGTACGATTCATGAAGGCACTAAGATCTTCCAAAAACATTCAACGAGTTGGGTAAATGTCTAGCGTGCTGCTAGGAAATGGGAACTCATAACTCTAGCCATCAATCAATATGCATATGATGAATATGGCAGAGTATATCTCTCCATTGCAGGCCTCGTTAGCCACAAAAAAAAAGATAGATTATGATCAGTACTACTATGGAAATAACTTGATGTGGGGTGTGTCAGAAAACCCCGCAGAAACCGATTCGGTCTCACTTTTCAAAACAGGACAGGCCCTGTATAGATCAACATAGTGTGTCAGACCTGCTATACGTTTTGTAAGT